CCCCTAAAATGACTACGTACAGTATGATCTTGATGCATTTGGCATATCACTGTTTATAAGGCACAGTAAATGAATTTTCTTTTATTTTCTTCCTTTTCAGGAAACACATATGAGCACTGGACCCAAAACAACTTTTTTTATGATTTCAAAATGGGGAAGATGTTAAAAATAAATGGGGAAAATGTTGACTGGGTGAGACTCATTAGCATTTAATCATGAGCTTCCTTTAAATAGCCCCCAACTGATCAATTTTGCTGAAGTACTTTGGAAAACAGAGCAGCTTATACCCCCTAATTCCTTCCCCAAACACCGATTTATACATACAATTTATGGGAATGTTTTATTACTGATCATCATGTACTACTGCCTGTTAAATGATTATAGTAAACCCTCTAGTCACACTTGACTAATTTTTTTCAAAAAAATTAGTGCATAAAAAATGTCTAGGATATTTTAATATCACAACGATAACAATGCGTTTTGCAAAAACAGTAAAGAACCATTCAATATGAATGTTTTTCATCCTTGGTATCAACAAAGCTTTCTTCAAGGGTAATTAAAGGTGATTTCCTCTTGAGGTCACTGCTTAAGCATTCTTAAAAGGGGTGAAACTAACACTTAACATTGGAATCCTGGTCTATGGCTTTGCTGTCTATAGCCCAACATCTCTACAAATGCTGCAGAGGACTCGTTAACATTCCGACTGGACTTCCTTGGTCTTTTTCTTAGCCGAAAATGGGAATATTTCTGGGAAATTCTCACAGACCGAGGGAAATGCAATATAAATCAGGGAAAATGGAGAATGAATGGTCAGAACTAGGTGTTTTAGCCTCAGAGAACATTTAATAGGTTAGCAGAAATCATAAATTGCAAGAAAACCAATTATTATCACTGAAGACAGGGCTGCACTATTTGTGAGTTTGTTTTTATTACTCAAAATAAATAAAGTATATGTAATAAAGGTTATGTAGCATCTTGGAACTACTGTACTTCAATAATTAGAAATAAAACTGACTTTATTTTTGATGTGTTTCCTTGTTAGCTTCACCGTTAACCGTCTCCAATTTGGCCTTAACCCATGGTTAAAAATAAAACACTAAAAGAAATCTCTTTACTCACCTGTGGAAGTATCTCAATGTTAAAATCCCAATTACTCTCAGAGTTATCAGTGTGTGTGGAGTGAGGAGCAGAAGTGAAAGCCTGTAATGATGAATTCTCATGACATGAAACTACTCTTTTCTCTTGGGATGAGACTAGCTCTTAAGAGTAGAGATAAAGTGCTATTTCAGGATCAGTGTGTGGGTGAGTAAATTTTCTGTGAGAAAAAAGTAATAAAATCCAAAGGACAGCCATAAATCTATCCAGATCACCATGGAAATGACATTATTTGCTATAGTTCACAATTTTAGATATTTTCATGTTCAATTTCCTTTAGGTTGACCTGCATTAACAGAATTATATAGTGTTGGCTATATTTTGTACTCACTTCAGGATTTAGCAGGAGTTTACTTAAAGAAATAAATAAAACACAATGTCAAATACATGCTGAGATATACTATTTATTTAGTCACTCACTGTAAGTGCTATCCTCGTCTTTTGTGCCATCAATGGTTCCATCTGCCTGTAGCTGCAAGTGGTAACCTTGTCGGCTGTATAGTTTGGTAACTATACCCTTAAGTTGAGGCTCTGTAAAGAGAGAGATGGTTTGGATTAATTGTTAAGTTGTGCATAGTTCATTGAAAAGACTAGGAATTCAAAATTTTAATTTCATTTACAACTTTTAGTGGAAAAGGTCAAGCTACACTTTTAAAGAATCCTCTGAGAGAAAGAAAACAAACTTTGTTTCGGAATAAATCTCCAAATTGAAGAAACATTTGATTTCTACCTCGTAATATCGGTAAAGCCATAAAGCTTCTGACAGCAGCTACAGTTTCTGATAGCGTGTCCTTTGACTTAACAGACTGGTACTCATCTCATTGAGTATTCAGAATGGGTTGGCAAATGGCATATCCTGCCTTTTAACAATGTGCCACTTTTCATGTGAAAGGAAAAGAAGAAATACAAAGATAATTTAGAGTGGTTTGCCAACCATGGACCAAAAACACACTAGCAATGATTTCCCTCTGAATCACAGCAATTTGGATAAATAGTCCTCTCCATTCTAGAAGGTCGAAATGCATAAATAACCTACAACCCCATCAAAGGACTGAAATTTAGAAAATTGAGCCATGATACAGAAGAAGGAGGAGGAAAGAATAAAACAACCATTACCATACCCCAGCATGTTAATTATCCATAGGGAAAATGAGAGCAAAAACAGCAGGGTTTTTGTTGGTAGAAAAGAAAATTAATTCATACTTATTTTCAAATTTAATATCAGAAATATGATTCTCCAAAATGTGTTCTCAACTTAAACGATTTTCAAATATGAATCACCATAGATTAATAAAGTAACGGCCATGCTACCCCAAATTTGCTGATATTGAATACAGACACCTGCACTGAAATAATATTCACATGATTATTCGGGCCACATAATTACGCCTTGCAACTACTTAAGCCTTTTTAAAACAAGTCTAATTTACAGCTAATGCCTTGAAAAACTTTGAGCCAACAGAAAATTTTTGTCTGCATTTCCATTCCAGGGTGTGTAGAACACATAAATAGAGAAATAACAGGTTGTTAAATAAGTCTTAAATTCTGCAACATTTACATGGTTCAAAGCAAGAAAAAAAACGTAAAAGATTCGTTTGGCTAATGGCCAAGTAAGCTGCACGTCCGCCTGAAGGTCTACCTTGACGCAACCTGACACCTAGAACTGAGTGAATTTACCCTGGCACCAGAACACCGCACTACTCTGATCACTGAATAGGTTCCAAAGGACTCACACTCTGACTATGAGTTTAAATTCTCTCTTCAATCCTGCATTTTAGTAGCAAGTGACCACAGTTTCACTATTCTAATCAGATCACTAAACTCTCTGCCACAAGGTTCTAGGAATCCACTCCCCCCTCTCCAGTAAATATTTAAAGCTGCACCACAAGTTAAGTCTGTCCCGATCAGCTTAAAAGTGATCAAAGAAACAGAATGCCTAGATAGCGGAAGCCGGAGGAAACTGGAGGGGAAGGGTCAGACTTTCGGGGATAAAGATAAGGGAGGGATTCCCTGGGTTCTCCTCCAGGAGGATGGAGGAGACAGTGGTGTCTCCTCAGCTCCGCATCTGCAATTTCCACGCGCCACACACACACACACACACACACACACACACACACACACACACAACCATGTCTGGGTCGCGCCCGCCCCAAACCCAGGGGCATGCACACATGTGGCACGCCTGAAGCTGAGGGCGCGCCACCTGGGCAGTGTATGCCCCCAGTCTCTGCGCCTGTCCCATGGTAGTGGCAATGCAGCAAGCCTGGTACCGTTACGAAGGAGGAGAAAAAGCAATCGCTTCCCACGCACGCACACGGGCTAGGTGGCCACATCCGTGTAAGATGGGCCGCTGACAAACTCACCTACGCTTACCAACACGCCCTCCAGCCCCTCCATACTTGTAAAGTATGAAACAAAGAAAACAAAACCAGTCAAGAGCCCCTTCTGACCTGGTCTCCTTCTGCGCCTCTTCTTAGAGCCGAAGAGTTTGACCCGGGAAAAGACGTTTAACTTGTTTTTGTCGCAGCTGGTCTTGCCTTTGCTGGGGCTGCTGACACACTTGCAGGCGTTGGATTTCTCGCGCTCGCGGGCTTGTCTCTTCTGCCGGATCAGCGAGCTGGCGATAGCCGCCGCCATAGCCACGACGCCCACCACCACCACTTCTTTTGCTGCCCCTCTCTGGCTTCGCCTCCTCCGCCCGCTCCCTCGTCGCTCGCTCGCTCTGTCTCGCGCCTTCGCCGCCTTCGGCTTCTTAGCCTGCGCTCGCCTGGGCTTCTCCGCACTCGGGCTTCAGCCGAGGAGTGGGCTCAGCATGCCATTCAAGCTCCTCCGGCGATGGTCCGGCTCCTGCGCGGGCTGCGGGCTGCCTGGGTCTGAGCCGACGCCACAGCCCCCGGCCGGGATCAAAGGCGAGACTGGCGGGTGGAGGCAGAACTGCGCGACTGCGTGAGCTCGGCCCCTGCGCCCCGAGGACACTGTGCACGTCCAAGTGGCTCTGGTCGGAGTT